ACAATTTCTAGGTTATCATGACTCCCTATACCCATACTGTTCTAGCTGCTCTTCCGTTGCAGTATCATGATGGAGAAGAGATTTGGAGGGCACGAGTACCTCTTATTAGTTGGAAACGTGCAGAGTGGCACCTTCCAGATCGGGTCATAAGACAGTTTTCAGGTCTACCAACCACTGAGATTGAACCCATGGATCAATCATTCAGGCGCATTGATGGTAGGGGTCGAGCAGATCAAGATTGGACAGTACAGTACCGTGACTACCTCCAGATCTGGGAGGAGAGAAGGGCTTATGTGGTACCCATCATTCCAGTCACAAGTACAGGCAACCAAGAAGTTGGTGCTTATCTACGATGGTATAGATCTTGGGCTTCTATCTACCTGTTACAACCTCAAGTTGAGCCTCCGGAAACCTTCTTTCCTCGATCACCCGGCGAGAGATTAGTGGTACGTATTGAAATGTTACTTATAATGTATTATTTTTTTGTTACAAAACATTAAAAATATTATATTTTTCTTAGGCGGATTACTACATACGATCATCTGCGATACTTGAGCCACTTGCCGGCGGTGGGGGACAAAATGCTAGTTCATTGCAGATGGCTATTGATCAGGTTGCTGAATTGTCTGCCCGAGTTCAACAATCTGTTTATATCGACTACACTACCTTCGATACATCGACGGAGGCAGAGCAACAAAGGAGAGAACGTGCGGAGAGTTCTCAGGGCCAGCAGCATAGTAGACGATCTGTTTCAGATGCTCCTTCTAGATCGATGGGAAGTAGGCACCTGCAGAATGTTGTTCCGGACCCGCATCGGCATTCTGTTCATCCATGGCCTACGATTACATGGGAGCAGGTACTTCAGCTCCACATTGGAGCCCGCACGTTGGACAGTCCAGTCAGCAAGGACAAATTTATTATGACACACAATACGACCAAACTAGTGGGCAATCATTATTTCCAATGGCCATTCCACACTGGATGTCATCAGTAGGATTACCTTCATCCCCAACGCAGCAGGATATTATGTTAACGGGAGGTTATCCTACGGAACCAGGTACACAACTTCCGCACCAACGTGCCGAGGTTGAGCAGGAGGAGACTGAGGTTTCAGAGGAGCCACAGTTACAGAGGAGAAGACGAAGAGCACCAAATAGATTTACTCCAGGGAGTGGGGCACTGCCTAGGCATCGATAGTATGAGATTTGAGATGTAATGTTGTGCTGAAATTAGAGATATGACAACCTGTTCTAAAAAATTTTTAATATTAAGAAATTTTGTTATTATATTGCTCGACAACTCATATCTATCATATCTATCAGTTTAATTCTTATTTTTCACGTTCTCATCTTTTTTTCTTCATTATTTTGTATTAAATAATATAGGTAAAATCTACAATTCTCACAGACTAATTCAAAAAATTTCATCTCAGCATCATTAATAAAGAATGTACTCCAACAATCCAGAGGCTAGCAG